TATGGTTTCACCGTCGTTTACAAAGAGCATTAAATTTGCCAACCGGTTACAGTTTCTTCTCTAATAATTTAACTACTCGAACGCTTAACATATAGACGGCGCAAATAATGAAGTTAAATTTTACATAAATTAATAAAATATGTTATTTATTTTATAAATTTTTATAATATGCGAAGAGATTGTCTGTTTTTTCCATAGACATAATTGAATTGTCTACGGTTTTTCTGTCGTTTACAAAGAGAATTAAATTTGCCACCCGATTACAGTTTTCTACTTTAATAATTTTACTAGTCGTACACTTAACGTATAGATGGCGCAAATAATGAAGTTGCGTAACATAAATTAATAAAATAAGTTATTTATATTTTTATAATATGCGCTTCTATTTCAAAATATTAAATTAAATTTTAAAATTAACTAAATAACTTCGTTTAAAAAAAGCTATTTACGTTGTACCTTAACCAAAAACTAGAAAACATGGAAATAAAGTTCCTAAGATTAAATAAAAATTTTCCATAACAATTGTTGTTTTCTTTCAATCCTTCTTTTTTAATTACCCATCAACTTTTTCTCTTTGTTACATATCCTTCCAATATACAATTGATATGCAGTTGGATTACCACGAGCAATAAACAAACTTGGAGAGTGTGGACCAGGAAAGAGGACCGAGATTGACGGGACATGGAGTAGCCGACATGAGAAACAAGTGCCAGAACAACCTAAATGTATGATTGTAAGACAACAAAGAATAATGAAACAGAGACATCAAAAGTATGGCATAAAGCAGAATAGTTGGAATAAAAACTCAAAACAAGCCTCCAATCAGAAGAAATAAAAATAGCGACAGAAAACCCATCTCCCAAATACACAGCGAGAATGGAATTGTCTACTCCGCCGAGAAAAAGCCGATGTGATGAGGATGACTTTCTCAAGAGAGAGAGAGTGCACACTAAATTATCATTCAGACTAAGACATAGACTTTATAGAAGTCAAAGAACAAGGAAACAAAGGAACCAAACGAAGTCATTTCTCTAACATCTCCAGAATAAATTAATTAATAAAAAACAGTTTTCCAAGGAAACCACCTGGTCCAGACCAGATAACAAACAGAACTCTGAAATATTTTTCATCGAAAGCCATAGTATTCCTAACAAACGCGATATTAAGATATAGGCTCTTCCCAAACCGATGGAAGGAAGCCCATGTAATTATGATTCCAAAGCCAGGAAAGAACACCACGTTCTCGCAAAACTACAGGCCGATAAGCTTACTTTCAGCAATCAGCAAAATTGTGAAAAGTCATCAACAGACTCCAGGCCGAAACAGACCGGCCAGGACTAATTCCAAAAGCTCAGTTCGGCTTCCGAGCAGACCACTCCACAGCGAGCTAAAAGTACTCAGATTAACATAGCAGCAGATTTCAACGATGGACAATACACAGGAGCAGCCTATCTGGACGTAAGCAAAGGTTTTGATAGAGTCTGGCATAAAGGATTAACATACAAAATGATAGACTATAGATACAGCGGGGCCTTAACGAGACTGATCTCTTCTTACTTGGGCAACCGGAGCTTCAGAATTCGGGTAGCACAAGTCCTTTCCGAAGTCGGAACTTTAGAGGCTGAAGTTTCACACGGAGCGGTCCTGTCACCACTAATGTATACAATATACACCGCCGACGTTCCAAGAACACCTGGAACATTACTCAGCCTATATGCCAACGATACAGTGATATCGGTCAAGCACAGAAATGTAGCCGTTGCAGTAAACAACATACGAATAGAGTTGGAGAACATTGAAGAATACATATATAATGCATACAATGGAAAATGCCTTTAATGCCAAGAAAAAGAAGCGGTGCTTTTAAAAACAGACATTAACACCCAAAGGAATAACTGACGGTGCAAAACAATTCTATCGAATGGAAAGGTGATGCTAGATACCTGGAAGTCAAAATGAATCAAGGACTAACTTAAAAAAAACATGGAGACGTCACACTACAAAAAGCGAATATGACAAAAACGTCAATAAGAGGACTCGCAAATAGAAAAAACAAATTAAGAATAAAAACTAAAATAAGACTGATAAATAGAATCATACTGCCTATATTAACATATGCATCTCTCACACGGGGACACGTCTGCAAAACAAATAAGAAGGGGATACAAGCTGCCCACAACAGCAGCCAAGAGAAGCAGTTAATGTACCCAGATACGGCACTGAACGTTTTCCGTTTAAAGAACTCCAACAAGCCTGAGTTACCGACATGATGCTGGAAAAAGCCAGGATAAAATTCGCAGAACTGAAAAACTATTTAAGTCCGATATTGCGGGAAATAATGCGGTATGATGCGTTCCATCGATGGAAGCACAAATACTGGAAACAGCTGATACTGACATAAACGCGAATATGTAAAATCAGAGGATACTTCGTAGCTCTATCAACGTAGATAGCCACAATCATTCTGTAGGCGCATTAATAAAGGCATTTTTCAGACATCCTTAAAAAAAACCACAAAAACGGCTTCGACCAACAAAAAACTAAAAAAAAAAATGATAATAAACCACATTAAGAGTCAACAAAAAAATTAACATAAACCAAAAACCCTGACCCTCAAGTTCCAAGTCGCCGAACTGGGCATAGCCTATAGCAGAGACTTGAGACCCGAGCAAGCAATTTTAGATTCTCGGATAAGTCATAAAAAGATAGCAGGAATAAAGCTCCTTACGCTAGCTTGTACTGATAGGTTAGGGAACCATGTTGGAGTTCTTATACCCAGGATCCCCACATGAAGAACATTTAGAATTAATACACCTCGCTTCAATGACTCCAGAACGTCATTTCAAGGGTTTTACAAGTGTCTCAGGATGGGTTCAATTAAATTGCTTGCTTGCTTGCAACAGTACTGCAGTGTTTAAAAGAATAGTAAAGAGTCTACTAGATAATTGATCTAGGCGCTTAGGAGACTGACAAGAAAAAATAATTACAAGAAATTTGGATAATGTTTATTTTCTGTTCTATAGACAACAAATACTTATACAAAATTATATAATGATGATAAAAACAAATACAAGATTTACAACCAAATTAATTTGTGTATAAAATAAAGAAATAATAAAAAGTGGGCAACTTTACCAGGAATACAACTAGAGGAGATGCCCCAGAGGTGAGAAAATATATAATAATTATTTAATAGTTTAAAACAAAATTAAAACCCTGTTATATTTTAAATAGCGATAAATATACAGAACTTGCTGTCATTTATCCTCTCATATCATATTAATGTAGAAGTAACTTCTCATAACTTCGTAAAGTCCTTATATTTTTGATAATAATAAGAGATCTAGCTGATAAAGTTACATTTTTGAAAAACATGTTTTTTAGGATATGGGAAGGACATATCGGTTATTTAATACCAATTTAACTACATGGAATGTTAAAATGTTGTACAGAACACACATATTTTTCAATAAAAGAAAATTCCACTAATATACCACAAAAGAGACCAAATAAAAATGGATGCACAGTGAGAAGCAAAGAAAGTAGAACCAGCTGCTATATGAATGAGGTGGTTGTTTTATTGGAAAATGAAAATATAGATATTTGTTCGGGCTACACATTGATAGAAAATTGTTGATTACATCACCATCTCTATAGATATAATCCAAAACCATTGTATGTAAGAAAAACTGGGACTTAAATCTAAATTGAAATAAACTCGTAACAGTAGTATAGTTCATCTCATTGCCTCTTTTAGTGCTCCATTGATTTCTAACACGTGTTCTAAATAAAGACAAAAGAATTTTATGTCTTTGGTTACTTCTTAAGGAAAACCATCATATTGCATAATATATTAATATATTCCGAAAGATATTTAATTGGTTGTCATTTCACCACACCCAGTCCCTATATCTATCAATATATAAGTTTAGAACCAAAATTAGTTTTCTATCAACCTAAGGAGCAAATTGGTGTTAAAAGCGGCTATGGAACAAATGCCAACCTACAAGCACTAAAACACTGATTGAATATATGTTAAGTATAATAAACCACGCGCGTTACTATTCGTCGACTTAAAGAAAGCCGTTGATACCGTGGAACTGCCGGTGGTATTGAAAGCATTAGAACAACGTAGAGATAGAACAAAACAGTAGACAAAGATGGAGGAGATCTATGGAGACCAGGAGTGGATGCAAGAGGTAAACAGATGATGATAACTTGAAATTGGAATATCTATTTATACTCAACTCGTCAGAGACGAAAATGCCATTGAACCTCTAAAAATCATACGGACAAACTGAATTTTACTGAGTTTTTGTTCAAAATTGATTCAAATCTCAGCTACATTTTTTATTTAAAAATTTTTTTCTACGACGTACAGGTTCTTGGTAAATGGATTTTTTTTTTGATATTTTACCCCTCTACGATGGAGGTTTTAGGGGGAAGCCCGGAGGTAAAGTGCTAAGCTTTTTTGCACCTTTTTTGGGGTCCCAAAATTGATATTCTCGGCAAAATTCAGCTTGTTCTTATGATTTTTAGGGGTCAAATCTCTGACAACTTGACAACTCCAATTATTTTCGAAAAAACTAATTTAGAATAAATAGTATATACAAAAGTAGGTAAATACACAAATTTTATTTTTTAATTCAAATTGCAATAAATTTTCCTAATAAATACCACTTTAATTTCGTAGCAAGTGCACATTTGGCAAATATAATCCTGGAAGTTGTCCCGTATGCCGCAAATTGCACACAATACTTCATATAATACCTCACTGTTGAAAGAAGGATCTGAGAGGAGTAGAAATGGTAGAAAATTAGAAAATTATTATTAACAAAAAGGTTATTGTCATTGGTCAAAGGTTAATGTTATTTGTCGCCTATTTGTTTACAACCCTTGTACTAATTACAAAGTAACGAAAAAATTTCCGTAGCTACACTGTTGTCGCGCTATATGGGGTATTGATCCTGGAGAGACAAATATTTCAAAAGAAAAATATAATGCATAATATCCTTTATTTTCGATGTTTTGAAGAAATAGTGAAATTACCTTATAAAGTAATATAGTGCATCACAAACTTCCACAAGATGTTCCCAACTATAAACAAAGAGTACATGAATATATGAAGGCACAATCTTAGTAGATATTATTTCCTTTAAAGTTTGTTGCGACTCATCAATGACACTTGCGTAGTGTGATTGTGTAATGATAGCGTAGTAATTCCCTAGCAAAATTTTAGATATTTTGACTTTTATACATCATTTTTTAATAAAATAATTTATAGAAAAAATTTGCTACCCAAAAAAATTTAATATCACTAAAAATCAGTTCTCCGTTTCACCTATGGTTTATGGAGTAAACATAAAGGTTAGGACGTATTGGTATTATTTCCAGAGTTGCCACGTGTAGTTTTTAATTAGTCACAAAAGATTTGTGTAGTATAAACAGACCTAAAATCAGCAATTATTTTTTGTATTTCATAAAAAACGAAATGCCAAAACAACAAGAACAGATAAATGTATAGTAATGCATTTAATATAATAATAAAAACGCCACATTATATCATTTCATAATTCCTTACATTCTCTATTAATCCCACAATACAACAACTATGGAAGTGTGCAATTAACTTTAAAGTTTACACTGTATAACAATACTTATTTTCATCAAGATTGGAATTTAATCAACTTCTTCCTTTTTTTTATTATTGTGTATGCTATTACCACAGCAGTTCATTTTGAATGCTCAACTTTAACCTCATCAGGCACTGATGCTCTGTTTACTCTTGGGAACTTCTAGTGTAAATATCGTTAGTACAATGGTTCACATATAAATCATTTTTTGAAATCCATGTACATGAAAGATATTGAATCATACAGTATAAAAAAATTGAGAAACTCTATACGTTACAATAAATCTCTAAAACAAACATTCAACAACATCAGGCACTTATCTAATATAATAATTAAAGCAGCGTCGTTATAAGATTGTATCAAAAATATTTTACCAAAACGAAATTTGATACTAATTATCACATATAAGAATTTACACCGAGTTGCGCACATAAAAGAATCCTGCTGCTGAGATCTTTATCCGAGGATCATCATTAACTGGCCTAGAATACTTAGTAATAGTCTCGTCATTGAACAAATACCAATCATCACGTTTGTTATCTAACTTAACTGTGGCAAAGTAATGTCCATGCGACATAGTACCCGTGTGTTCAACAATACTAACTAAATTGTATCTCGAAGTACCAAATCTCAAATTTGTCAAGGGAAAGTCGACTTCTGCTTGGTTCTTTACATAGTTTGAGATATCACCACTATGCATGTACCTAAAACAAAAACATTATTAATATATCATTATCAGCCCAAAAACAAAAAACAGGCATGCATTGTGGATATCTGAATACTCAGTCGGCAAAGGAGCCACTTATCAATACTGAATGAATTTAAATATTTAAGCATCGCTTTAGATTTTATATTACCACGGCCAAAGCATACCCACCACATTAAAAATGGTAAAAGTGTGAGCGGATTTAACACGTGTGTTAGAAATTTCAGATGGAGTGTTTGCCTAGATTTTGAATAATTATGGAAGCAATTTTATCACAGTCCGAATAATACATATCAATCCATTGATTTACTTGAACAGTAACGTTTTCCATCCGGAACCTTAATAAACTTTTATGAAGTATTAATGGCATACGTCAATCAATAACATTCGATATTTGGTATTCTGGTACTTAACCTTAATGACAGTCTGCGAACTAAACGTTTTTGTGTTTGTTTTGATTTAATTTGTATCGTGTTTGTTTCTAATATTTTAATTGTGAACGTAAATTATACAACTACATATTACATGTCCAAAATACCTGCAATCCACATTGTACCCACAAACCATTTTGATGTTGTTAAAATTAATCATATTGCCATTAACCTCAATCAAGTAAGATATAAACAAAAAACAAATATTGAATGTATTTTACTAGGTTTTAAATTATTGTAGCTTTCATCTGATGATGCCAATGAAAATTGGCGAAATATAATGAACTGTTGAACAGAGTGCACTTGGCTTTTAATCAGCTGTATACCCAATTAACCTCAACTCCCTATATATATATATATATATATATATATATATATATATATATATATATATATATATATATATATATATAAATATATATATATATAATAAGAAACGGTTTATGCGAGTTCATAGTAAAATAAAGGTAGAATGTATCTGTATAGTTCGCAACAAGGGGAAAAACAATAAAATATGTAGGTATATAAGATAGAAGGCAACCATAAATACGTATTTCTGACTATTTGGTCGTCATCAGTAGGGTGCAGCAAATTAAAAAAAAAAAGTCCTCATCATGCACCGTAGTGATGCCGACCAGATATTCAGAAATACGTATTTACGATTTCCTTCGATCTTATACACATATTTTACATATTTTATTATATATATATATACATCATTCTACCATTGCTGCGTCTGATAACATCCCAATTACATACATTATTGATACCTTCGAATTATTGCGTCCGTATATCGGAAGCAATAATGTCAAGCCATAGTTTTCGTTGTTCCTGTCGTTTTTTAAGTATCATTGGTACGTTGGAAATTGAAAAAATGTTTAAACTTCTTCTTTTTAATTTCAATTTGGCAACATATAATCAGATGACAGAGATATTTTATGATTTAAATTTGTATCAGGACGCAATAGTATTAGCCAACCGTATATTGTTAGTTCATCGATTTTCCGTATTGGCGCTAAGATAATATACTACATCAAATATACGCTTTACAAACTACGCACATTATTCCTTCCTACATGTGGCAACTCTGTTATCTATTTTTAGAAGCAGTTCACGACGCTAAGCGATTCACGATATGGACAATGGATATAATATTGTGCAATATTTTGTATATTATGCGGTTGTCTCGTAATAATTGTATGTGGGAGTTTTAAGTGAATGTTTTTGTTTAGTTTTCTTAACAGATAAATACCTATCAATATGAATCGCGGGAAGCGAATATTAAATGAGTGTCTAAATCAAGGTTCTGAAGGTAAGCAATTAATAAGCATTTATAATTTTGAATGGTCAAGTAATTTATGTGATTGATTTTAATGTTTTATTATTTCTGTTAATATAGATAGTAAGCCTGCATCTGGTCAAAAAAAATTGGAATATTCGACAAATGGATATTTAGAAGTTGACGTTAACTTTTTTGAAAATCAAAAAGCAAATTTAAAAATTCAAGATCAATGTAAGTACTTTACAACTATTTTTAATTTATTTATATTTTAGGATTGAATTGGTTTCCAACTATTTTTGCAGGTACTAATTCAGACAGTAACTTTCAGTTTAACAAAAAATTGTCAAATTGGTTTTGCAATCGAGGTTTTATCGCAGAAAATAATGAAAACTGTCCAGCTAGACAAGAATTTTTTGATAACAGTGAAAATCAAAATATTTTACAAATATCAAGTGATTTAGACACCCCGGCTCTTACGACAGAAACGGAAAATACTGAAAATGATTATGTTTTAAAAAAACAGGTAAGTTGCTGCTAAAAAAATTTACTTATTTATTATTCAGGAATTATTCCGATAGGTAGATTATGGTGTTATCTCATCAAAAAATACATCCGAAAAAGACTTTACGTCATTTCCAAGTACTCTGGAATATCCTTTTCATGGATCATCAAGTGACAATTCTTATGTATCACACCATGTTAGATCAAATTTATTGTTTAAATCATCCTCTAAGTCTAAATAAAAAGGTATCATAGTGATATACATAATCTTCCTGTATTTTGGGTCATGTATTCTAAAGAAGAAAACAATAAATTAGTTGGATTTAATTTACCTTATAGCAATGCTTTTTTGTTGGTGAGATACAGGGTGTCACGGTTTTAATTTGATTATAGTTATTTTTACAGAAACTATAAAATAATATTACAATATTTGCGTAACATGTATTATTGGTCGGTTGTTATTGTTGGAGGATCTAAAGCCGGTAACGCTTTTGCTGTACCATGTGGTTCATGCATATGTTTGTGTTTTTAGTTTTTGTGTATTTAACCCTCCTTCCCACGGGTGGAGTCCATCAGTACAACTATAAATGAAATTGCTTAATTTTTTTAATTTTTTTTGTATTTTCTCCTAGACTCTGTGTATCTTTTAATGGCAATGAATAGTACATGTTAGCATAATTTGGTGAAATTGTATGAATCCCTTCAATCACTACCTGTAACAATATCCTGACAGACCTCTCCAGTGGGTGGGCGTTTCTTATTTTGTGCTATGGCTTGGCTAATATTGCAGCTATAAATGCATTTATTATATACTAAGATCCAATAATACGAATGCAGAATTGTTTTTCGATCTTTCTGAATTTTCGATTGTTTCTGAAGTCTTTAGGAATTGCGTTAGTTCAGAAAAATATGAAAATACGAGCGCTAAATATGCGTATACCAAGTACATCACGGTTACTTGCTGCAAAATTTTCTGGAATTGAGCAAACGACGAGAGATGACCCAGCTACAGGAAAAGAGGGACGGTACAAGTATTGTAAAAAAAGAAAAACTAGATATTTTTGTCAATTGTTCAAAAACTGGTTATGTATGGAACATATAAAAGCTTGTTGTGTCGATTGTCTAGAAACAAAATTAACATTATTTAACCCCCTCTTATTTTCTGTTTCCAATTTTAATTTTTGATATTTGATTTTCACTTATATTACTATAAGTACATAGAATAATAATATTGTCTTTTTTATATTTTTCTTTTGTATTCGCCGTTCATGATTTTTTAATAAACTCTTATAAAAACAATAATGGTGTTAGTTTATTACGCAGTAAACTACACCATTACATATTGATACACATATTATATATACATTTAGGTAGTACAACGTTACATTAGTAAGTTTCCTTAAATATATTTAAAAAAACAGTAATTTTTTAATGAGAAAAAGGATGTTTAAAATTTGGTCCTGATAGACCACACCTGTGGATTTGTATCCCAAAAAATCACCCGTAGAAAGGAGGCTTAATTTTGAATTAGGTCTTACTTTCTAATATTTATTTGTAAAAAAGCGCAAGCGCAACAATTTTTATGATATTTTGATTTTAAAGATTTAATTCTAACAAAACACGGTAGTGCAGAAATAATTAAAATCTATTACCTACTAACAATAACATCATAAAAATTTAAATTATGCAACATTGTGTACAACTGAATAAGCTTGACCTCTAAAACATATAGTATCTCTGTGATCTAACAGTTTTTAGAGGTACTGTGTTTCTCGCATTTATATGCTTTTTAGTCCTTCAGATTTTTAAATATGCTTTGAGTTTTTTGGACTACTTACTGCTTTATTGCGGTATTTTCAATCTTGAAACATGGCACCTGAATCAGGTTTATTTATGTTATGACTAAAATCAGCTAATGTTGGGTCTTTACATTTTAGGATTCCAATGATGACGAGGATACTAATATAAAGAAATATAAAACACGTAATTATCAAGAATTAAATTTTCCAATTAGTACAGGGGCTGAGGATAATCCTCAAGTAAACGCTTCCACTAGTATAGAGGTCACTAAAACTAAAACGCCATATAAGAGAAAACCAGATCACTGTTATTTTTGTGAAACGAAGGTGTTAAATTTTAGTCGTCATATCATAAGAATACATCCAATGGAAATTGAGGTAGCAAAAATTATGGCAAAACCAATCAAAAGCAAGGAAAGAAAAGAACTATTCAATGCTCTTAGACGAAAGGGAAATTTCTTGGCAGAAGGTGGTAGCTGTTTTAAACCAGTTAGAGAGGGATATGTACCAGGAAGAGAAAAACGAGTTTGCAACAATTGTTTAGGACACTTTTCATCGAAGCTTTTATATCGACATAAGAAAAAATGTGCAAAAACGAATTTAGGTGCAAAAAGTACAACAATTTTCTCTAATATGAAGGTAGATCGGGGATTAAAAGAGGAAGTATTTCCTCGTATGAGAGCTGATAAAATATCCTTGGAAGCACAAACAGATCCACTTATTTGTGAATTTGGAACTAGGTACTTGAAAACGCATCGTGAAAAACATTTTGTTAATGTCACATCAAGGAAAATGAGGGAGCTTGCCAAAATTCTTCTGGAGATGAGAGTTCTGGAAACATCCATAACCACATTATTATCAGCCTTGAAACCAAATTATTTTGACCTGTTTGTACAAGCCGCAAAACGCATAGCCAAATATGATAAGAAACAAGATATTTATTTATCTCCAACCTTTGCCATGAATATTGCAACTTCTTTGAAAC